CAGCTTGTTAGGTGACAATTTACTAGCACATTGACCTTTGTATTTGTGCATGAGCTACAGGTCAGTGCATCCCAGACTTCGGCATATTTAACACAATTAACACTTTGAATAATTGTTTTGTTTAGTCTGTGTATTAGAAAAAAGCAACTAGTACTTTTCATTGAACCCAGACTTACATGTAGTGTGGTTTAGGACAAGGATGTCTTTTTAAAAAACTGAATTGAGTAAGAGAGAAATGTTAAATGCAAGTATTGGAAGCATATGGCAAAAATACTGAGAATGTGACATAGAACTAAAGTGTGGGAACCTCTGCCCTGGGGATTTCCTCTAGATATGCACATTTACTGTAAGATTAAATCAAGAGCACACTGGCTTCCGTTTTTGGCCTCTCTGTCAATCCAGACTAGGGAATTAGCTATCCGTGCTGGGCTTCTAAAGCCCTTGACTACCTTTTGCTGACTCCCTCTTACTCAGTGTGTATTTGAGGAACACACACTTGTTTTTAATATTAACCAAGCAAATAATTAAGGTAGCAGCGATGGAAAATCACACTTCAAAAGCCAAAAATGGCTTCTCGGCCATCCTGAGGGGCTCATTCCGCTTTTTTCCTGTGCTGAGTTGAGTGATGAGTTGATTACCTGCACTCGGCATCCTTGATGACTTATGCTGATAGGTGCTAACACTTCAATTTCACACTTAACTCTTGAGCCATGCTTCTAGAATTGCTTGCTGAATTGTGTTTGTGTGTAATCATGAGAACTAAGGATTATGAGCTCTTAGAAGTCAGCGTGAAATTGAAAAAAATTTAAAATGTGGAGCTTTCACCTGTCTCAAAGAAACCCTACTATGATCTTTTATATTAATCAGTTAACAAGACTTCCACTCTCACTCATATTTTCTTGGGTTGTTTTAGGTGACGGAGAAGACCGTTAAAGCAAAAAGCTCTGCTCCTGCCTCGGATGACACCTATCCAGAAATAGAAAAATTCTTTCCCTTCAATCCTCTCGGTAGTATCGTTCGGTATTACAAAAATGCTTTAGCCTTGAGTTTCTCTTAGGATCCAGTTCAGCTGTAACTTGATATGGATATG